CGTGCGTGGGAAAGCACTACGATGTAGCACGGGGCCCGCCGAACGAGGGCAGCATGAAAGCTTGGGAGGGTGTAAAACATCAACTGCCGCCCACGGCGATGGGCCCCCGTGCTACATGGCAATGCTTTCCCGCGCACCACGATAAAAAACACAACGGCGATTCGAATGGTTTCGATAAATGTGGGTTTGTATTTGTCTACGCCTTCAACAAGCCTGCCCCTCTCTTGCATCCCGCTAACTATAGAAATGCTGCGTATTCTTGTGGACCCGTGACTGACGAGGCAGACGTCCCTAGCAGTTGCGACAAATCTCATCTACGGGGCGAGAGCTGTTGTGAGCGCCCCGGGCCATGAAGTCCCGGGAAGAAGGGAAGAGTGTGGTCCGCCCTCCCCCTGACAACCCCCCCCCCTACCCCCGATGCACACACGTAGTGGCCTCTAGAAGTGTTTCCCGTTGTTGACCGCGTTGAGACTGCCGTATTTTCATTGGTCAGCCGGTCTTGAGGCGGCCGATTTTGAGTGTGAGTACGGACACACACATGTGTACTCCCGTTTTCGACTGACGAAATTTCATTGGCAGCCGGGTAAAGCGTCATCGATGCTAGTAAGCGAACACATTTTGGTTAGAAAACGTGTTCGCGTTTCTATCGTTTTCTTATCCCTCTACATTGTATGCATATTGTAACTTGACATCTTGCCACTTATCAGCGGGTTAGCGAGGTCAACACTAATTGAAAAAATATTACACACAACCGAACATGCCTCCGCTTGGTTTTTGATTCCCACACCTGCACAGGCCATGTCCGGGCCCAAGAACGAAGACAAGAGCCAAGGCGAAATCCGCGGGGTGCTCAAGGGGCTAGGCTACACCTCCGACATGGTCTACAAGTTTTGAGATTTCAGGGATTTTTGCGTGTTGTCACCGTCTCTATGCTTAGCATACGTGTCTCATGAGTTCCAAGGTCTTTTGTTGTGTACCATACACCATGGTGTATTTTTGTACAGACAGCACTTCAGACAGCAGTACGCTGTAGTCGACAAACATTCATTTTGGTGAAGTGCGGGACAAGGGGGGTGATGCTGCTGTTGTAGTCGAATGGTAGTGTGTGGGCGTGTAGTTCAGTTGTGAGCACGCAAACGTGCTGCAGGGATTGATTGTAGGTGTACCTCCTCGGGCTTGTGTACCCTTTTCTTGCTAATAGTGTGCGTGTTCTTTGATTTTCTGATGGCTCTAGCATTTTTGTGACCACGTGCAGAGTTTAATGTCAAGAAAACAACAACAACAACAACAACAACAAGGTCTTTCCTCCGACGACATTGTCTGCCACAAGATTTTTTAGGTTTTAGGACATGGATTTGCCACGATGCACCTGGGCGGTGCCCATTCTCCGCCGGCGCTGAACAGTGGCCGCGGTAGCTATGGCCTCAACGTCCAAGTTTCCAATTTTGATCCGATATGCAACTTTTTTGGCGTTGGGATGTATGTATCCCGCAAGTAATGATATTTGCCAATGGCACTGCTGTAGTCGCGCCATGTGTGCGGGTGCTTGGCGATGCGAGTGCCGGCACGTGGTCGGAAATCTTGGGTATTTGCGCCCGTGATTTGCTGGGGGCCTCAAGACCGGAACGAAACGACGTGTCGTGGGTACCCACCCTGCAGGCAATCATTCGTGCCCCCCGACGCGAGATGAAACTCCCTCAAATTATTGCTGTGGCAGAAACCGCAGCATCAGCATTATTAGGGGCGGTTAAAGAAAAAGACCGAGGACCGGCGATTAATCTTGGCGGAACCAAAAGCGATCGACCCGCTCAAAGGAACAAAAAAACTGGTGCTATTTACTGCTACACAGTAACTGGCATGAAGAACCAGAATTACACGTTCAAGAAGATCAAAGAAAAAAATCCCCCAAAAATCGCCAACTACAACATACAAGGTGTTGCCGAGATCCTACGCGTATAACAATGAAGGAGAAGCCAAACTACATCCATCAACCATGGCAGATCACATCATGTCTTGCCCCACGATTAGCGCCTCGCACTTCCGCGGTGGCGTGTGCGCCAACGAGTCTCCCGCGAACGCAACGCTAAGGGCGGCACCCCCGCCCACCCCGAACGCGGGATACACGGTGCCCCGAATTCTCATCACGGCCAACTCGTCCCCCTCCCCCAGCGGGTCGCCCCCGCGCGTGAAGAAGAGCATGGGCAGGTCGGTGAAATCCAACGCTATTCCGATAACGTCGCCCTCCTTGAGCTGGAGCAACCGGTGTTCAAGAGGAGACCGAGAAAGAAACGAGAGGTTGGGCAGGGGGGAGGGCGGGGGCAAGGCGCAAGTTCAAGAGACAGGGGGAAATAGAAGACATTCGGCAGGGGGGGGGGCGGGAGTCGAGAGGCGAAACGGAGTGCTTCTTTGCACCGTTCATGGTTTGTTGCTCCCTTCCAGGATACACACCTATTTAGTGACGTACACAAGTCTGGGGCGTGGTAAATTGCACCCAGCAATTTCGCGTGCGTGTTGCGGCTGGCCCAGTGTAGCTTGTACGAGTAAAAAAAAAAAAAATGGTTCTGATATCCCTCCAGCTTGACAGGGGGTGGAACACGGCGGGCACAAGGCGAACCGCCCCTCGTCGTGTGTCCGACAATGACCCGAAAGGCCCGTGCGGGGACGGACGACCATACGCTTGAAGCCCGCCTCTGTTTCGAGAGTCCCAAAAAAACGAAACAAACGCAGAGAGGGGATGGCAGCTCACCGTCCCCGCCGCGCCTCCGTCCGAGGTGCAGAACCCCCAAGTCTTCTCCCCGTCTCCCAGCTTCGATCTGGACAAGAGCTCCCCGCTAGCGTCGTCCGGTGGTGGCCTTCGAGATACCCCGAGGCTCACCGTGCCCCCCGGTGGCAGGGTCATCACGGTGGCTTCCCTGTGGTGCCCGCGTAAAAAGACGGTAGAGTACAAGCGGTTAACAGCCCACACCTTACCTGGGAGGAAATGGTCACCGAGAGATGGTGTGTCGTACTTGTGTTGGTGCTGCGCACATTTTCTACAGCGGGTGTGTGCGCGCGAGCGTGTAGGCGCCGCTTATCTTGTAGCGAAATGAGACGGGAGACAGCAATCTTCCAAATTTGGGCCGCCCGTCATCCGTCCACGGGAAACAAACCCAGGTGTTCTCCGTCCCAGAAGCTATATATCACGAGGGGGGGGGGGGGGCGTACTCATGGTTTGCATGCCCTAGTTGTTAGACTATTGACCACGCGTCCTCGCGAGGACGCAGCAGCATTGTTCCCACACGACCGGTGAATCATTCTTCCTGCTTCGCCGAAGGTGGCTCAAAAACGTTTTCCCTATCCTATCTATGCCACTCCCCGCCTTTTCACTCCACTTTTAGCTACCGTCTGGGGGGGGGGGGGGGGGGGGGGGGGGGGCTTGTCCACAGCACGCCTCACGGAGTTTAGTAAAGCGTTTCACTTTTGCCACAAAAAAGGAGGGGGTGAACAACCCGTATTTTCCCGGGCCAGGTTTTCTGATTGCAACCGGGAACAGCACATTGGGGTGCCTGGTCCTATTCACGATACTAACGCCATGCACCTGC